GTATCCCAAATCTCCCAGACAGTGTTCCCAGAGACCAAGATGGAAGCTGGGTCTTCTGACCTAGCCTCAGAATTCCCTGAACAGGGGCAGCCCTGGGGGCTCAGCGGTTTAGCGCCGTCTTCAGCCCAGGGCCTGATCCTGGAGACCCGGGATCGAGTCCCACGTGGAGCTCCCTGCATGGAGCCTGCTTCTCCCTCTGCCTGTGTCTCTGCCTCTCTGTGTGTCTCTCATGAATAAATAAATAAAAATCTTAAAAAAAAATAAAAAAGAATTCCCTGAACATTATGACTGCCACATTCTATTGATCAAGCTAGTCACTACATCCAGATTTCAGGGGAAGAAATAGACTCCACCTCTCAATGGACAGAGCAGTCAAGATGTAAAAGTTCTCAGTTTACAGTCTAAAAAATTGCATTTGGCTCACCATCTAAAAGCAAAATGAGAATGGAGCACCTCAGTTACTTAGGCTTCCAACTGTTGATCTCAGCTCAGGTACTGATCTCAAGGTCCTGAGTTCAGACCCAGTATGAGTCTCCATACTTGGTGTGGAGCCTACTTTAAAAAAAAAAAAAAAAAGAAAGAAAGAAAGAAAGAAAGAAAGAAAGAAAGAAAGAAAGAAAGAAAGAAAGAAAGAAAGAAAGTTGAACAGACTAAATGGAATGTTTCAGATGTTGTGAATTGACTAGAAAACATAATAGTATACTTATAGTTTCTCAAGTATTTAAAAATATTTTAGGGCAGCTCCGGTGGCTCAGCGGTTTAGCGCCTGCCTTCAGCCCAGGGTGTGATCCTGGAGACCCGGGATCGAGTCCCACATCAGGCTCCCTGCATGGAGCCTGCTTCTCCCTCTGCCTGTGTCTCTGCCTCTCTCTCTCTCTGTCTGTCATGAATAAATAATAAAATCTTTTAAAAAATAAAAATATTTTAACAGTAATATGTACTTGGCCCCTGCATAATTTCTTCAGTGGATGAAGTTTGCACTTTGCCGTGTTTTTCTGTCTTCGAGCTTAGAGTCTTGACTTTTTTTCTTTTAGGGTGTTTTAGGGTTTTTTTTTTTTTTTAGAGTAGCAGCAAGGGGCAGAGGGAAATGTAGAGAGAGAGACTCTCAAGTAAGCTCCCTGCCCAGGGCAAGCCAAAGTTGGGGCTGGGTCCTACCACCCTGAGATCATGACCTGAGCCAAAATCGATACTCAGCTTAACCGACTGAGCCATACAGGCACCCCTCCTTTAGGTTTTACTAGGCTTGCTCATATATGTGGGGGTTTTTTGTTTTGTTTTGTTTTTGTTGTTTTGAGAGAGAGAGAACACAAAAATGGGGGGAGGGAGAGAGACAAACAGACTCCCAGGGTCCTGAAATCATGACCTGTGCAGAAGGCAAACACTTGACTAAGCCACCTAGATACCCCTTTACTTGTGTACTTTGAAGAAGTTCATATATTGAAGGAGTTTATGACAGGCTTACTCAGGAAGATGCCACAAAAAAATGATCCTTGTTAAGTTGGCTGGGGAAGTTTTAGTACGTAAGTGCTTGAGGGGGGAGTGTAACTGAACCTATGTCTGTCTGATGCACACAAAACCGACCAATGTGACACCAGGATGCAGTAAATAAAGGGCTTATTTGAGAGGCAGCCAAAGGAGGAGATTGGAGAGCAAACCACAAATCTGCTTCCTTGAAGGGGGAGAGAACAAGTTTTTTATAATCATGGGGGCTGCATACATAAATATTGATGAAAAGAGCAAAGAAACATAGGACTATTCATGAGTAAAGATGGAGCGTGCGCATTGCTCAAGTTTATATGTAACATACTTCCCACGTTCGCTTTAAGTGGAGACTTAACATCAGAAAAAAACAAATTCAGTCCCTCACATCGGGTTATCCTAGGACAACGAGAAGGGGCTATGGGCATGCTCCAAGAGCTGGTATAAACTGGATGAGATCTTGGGCTATATAGATTATATAGGTCAGAGGCTAGAGAACCATATTAGTTGGCCTTGAATCCAGGTGTCTGTAGGGACAGCTAGAAAATTCATTAGTGGGGTCAGAAAAGACACGATACGGGCACCAGGGTGACTCAGTGGGTTAAACGTCTGCCTTGGGCTCAGGTCATGATGCCAGACTCCTGGATACAGCCCCACATCAGCCTCCCTGCTTAGTGGGGAGCCTGCTTCTCCCTCTCCCTCACTCTCCTTGCCTGTGCTTCCTCTATGTCAGATAAATAAAATCTTTCAAGGAAAAAAAAAAAGACACAATAGCTGATTCGGGGAAAATGTTCTCTGACAAACAAACTAAATTCTCTGCAAGCTTCAACCTCATTAATCCTACGGGACACACTTTCAGAAGGGGAAATGACCTACTAATCTGTCCAGTGAGGATGAGGTGACAAGGCGGCTAAGCAAAACCGACTGAAACTTCCTTTTCGCTGAGGGGAACGGGATCAAACTCCGGCCCCCATCCACGCTCTAGTGGGGCGGGCAACGGCTCCACTGACTTGGGGGAGACCTGACTTGGGGAATCTCCCCTTCAACATGCAACTCCTGGCCGCAGACTCCTCATCGCCCATCCCTCCACCCCCACCCCCAAACCCCCACCTCCCAGCCTCCACCCCATATCCCAACCCCCACTCCTCCATTAGGCCCTCCAGTAGCCGGCTGCCTCCGCCCGGGAATAGGACGTCCGCTGGGCCAGAGTCCAGGACGGGACTGCGTGGGATGACGTCATGACATGGGCGTGCCTACGCAAATGAGCAGCGCGCAGAGGCTGCCGGGCCGGCACCGTTGTTTACAAATAGTACTTCTGGGACGCCTGGGTGGCTCAGCAGTGAGCCTCTGCCTTTGGCTCGCGGCGTGATCCTGGGATCTAGGATCAAGTTCCCAATTGGGCTCCACGTGGGGAGCCTGCTTCTCCCCCTCCCTGTGTCTCTGCCTCTCTCTGTGTGTGTGCGTCTCATGAAAAATAAATAAATCTTTAAAAAAAAACTAGTTCCTCTAAGACCCTGCTTGCATATCTTCAGCTGAAAATAAACATGTATTTCTGTTGGGTGTGTATAATCAGGAGAACTAGGAGCCATAGAGTCTCTATGTGAAAAGCCTTCATAGATAGTGCCAAACCGTTCCCCTGTTTCCCAAAGTGATTCTACTTAATTTACATTCCCACCAGAAGAAATGTGAGCATTGTGTTGTTGCACAGGCTTCTACTATTTGTTATCTTTTTTGTTTTAGTTATTATTCTACAGGATGCGAAGGGTTTTTAAATTATAACTTTATTGCAACAGTAATTTCAGACTTACAGAAAAGTTGCAAGAATAGTACAAAGACGGGAGCCTGGGTGGCTCAGGTGGTAAAGCATCTGCCTTCAGCTCCTATTATATCTCAGGGTCCTGGGATCAAGCCCCATGTCAGGCTCCCTGCTGTGTGGGGAATCTGCTTCTCCCCTCTGCCTGTATTCGCGTGCTCTCTCTCTCTCACACACAAATGAATAAAATCTTAAAAAAAAAAAAAATTACAAAGAATTCCTGTATATATGTCACCCAGATTTCCTGAATGTTAACATTTTCTACATTGCTTAAAGTACTTTTTCCCAAAGGGGCAACTGGGTAGCTCAGCCATTTAACGTCTGATTCCCGATTTCAGCTCAGGGCATGATCTCAGGGTCCTGAGATGGAGCCCGAGTCTGGGGCCGCACTCAATATGGAGTCTGCCTAAGATTTTCTCTCTCTCTGCCTCTCCCCCTGTTCAAGCTCTCTCTCTCTAAAATAAGTAAATAAAATATCTCTAATAAAAAGTACTTTTCCCCAAAAGGCCCATATTCATTTCTTCTGCCCTTTGTGCATATCTCTTTTTTAAAAACATAAGAATTTTTAAAAAGATAAGAATTAATTTTAATCTACTCAATACAATTATCTATGATTCCCCCTAATATTATGAAATATTCAGTATGTAGACGATCCCAGTTGCCTAGGATGGCTTTTTACAGTGGAATTCGTTTGAGTTAGGATTCAAACAAGGTCCCTATATTGTATTTGATTGACACAGTACTTTTTTTTTTTTTTTTTTTTTTTTTGCCTCTCTCCACACTAAATTGACTAGTTTCATCATTTCAGTCTGCCTCAAACTAACCACATCTTTTTATTACTCCTGCTTCTGGCACATTTTGTTAATGTTTTGACTATGTTTCTGGTTGTTCTCAGTAGGAAGGCTGCTTTGAATGACCTAGTCTTCCATTGTCAGCCTTTATCACTTTATTTTTTTTAGGACAGGGGGAGTGGTAAAGGGAGGGGTAGAGAGAATCTTAGGCGGGCTACACACGCAGCATGGAGCCCAACTCAGGCTTGATCTCACAACCCTGAGATCATGACCTGAGCTGAAATCCAGAGTTGGACGTTTAACCTACTGAGCCACCCAGGCGTCCCAGCCTTCATCACTTTAAAATCATGTGTCCACATCGTTGAAATGGGTAACAAGAGAGAAATATAAGTCATACCGAAAGATATTAAAAGTCATAGCCAAGAACTTGAGTCAAATATAGAGTCCTTCCGTAATTTCAGTCATCTTATCTGATCTCATTCTTTTTTCTGTACATTTTTTGTCAGAGTCACAAAGAAAAGGAATAGGATAGTGGAAAGAGGAAGGCAGGGAACCTTAGGTGGAATAAGAATGGATACTGTGGTTATTTATTACTTTAAATTTTTTATAGTAGTTAAAGAAAACATTGGCTGTAGAACATGTACTAATTCAATGCCTAATTTTCCCCCTTTGTCAGAAAATAGAAGTATGAGTGTCTGCCAATGAGGACCTCAAGCTTTCCGACCTTTTTTTTTTTTTTTTAGTTATGATAGTCACAGAGAGAGAGAGAGAGGCAGAGACACAGGCAGAGGGAGAAGCAGGCTCCATGCACTGGGAGCCCGATGTGGGATTCAATCCCGGGTCTCCAGGATCGCGCCCTGGGCCAAAGGCAGGCGCCAAACCGCTGCGCCACCCAGGGATCCCTTTCTGACCTTTTATAAATATTACTTAAGAGAATCTCAAGCTGCTAAGGTAATTTGATTCTTCATTATTTTTACAAAAATCCATCTCATTAGAGGTTGTTAGACTTAAGATTGTTAATGATTATCTTTTAAATTTGATTTTCAAGTGTGAATTTTTGTCCTCCTTTTATAAATTGTTGGTCACTGAACCCCACATAAGTCTCCTCTATAAACTTATCACATAGAATAATCTAGAACTTTTTCTTTTTTGTTAACTTGGTATAGTCATTCAATTAAAATGCCGACAAAACAAAAAGTAAACCCCCAAATAACAGTCTATATAGCTGAAGGATTCCTAAGTCCTCTATTGAAGGTGAGAGAGCCATAAAACCAGGATATGTTTTATTTTAAGGCAAGTCACATTTCCCTTTGGAAGTCTGTGTGCAAGATTAAAACGCTTACTAATCAAAACAATGTTACACAGAAGCATCTTTAAAGCACTGAAAATGTAGTGGCCCAGATATTCTAAGTTCAGGGCACCTCAGTGGCTCAGTCCATTAAGTGTCTGCCTTTGGCTCAGGTCATGATCCCAGGTCCTTGGATCAAACCGCATGTCAGGCTCCCTCCCTGCTCAGTGGGAAGCCTGCTTCTCCCTCTCCCTCTGCCTCTCCCCCAGCTTCTGCTCTCTCACAAAAAAATAAATAAAATCTTTAGGGAAAAAAAAAGATATTCTAAACTCATTGTTAATTTATGAATCGATATATTCTACAGAAAATTCCCATGTGATCAGTGGTGCTTTATAACGGTTTTTCATTCCTTATCAAATTATAAATAACCCTTGGGGACTTGGCTGGCTTAGTTGGTAGAGCATGCAACTCTTGAGGGATCTCAGGATCCCTCAGTTCAAGCCCCACATTGAACACAGAGCTTACTTTATTTTTTATTTTTTTAAGATTTTATTTATTTATTCGTGAGAGACAGACATAGGAAGAGGGAGAAGCAGACTCCCTGCAGGGCGCCTACAACAGGATTCCATCCCAGCCCCCCCCCATCACCCCATCACACCCAGAGCCAAAGGCAGATGCTAAACCAGTGAGCCACCAGGTGCCTCCACAGAGTTTATTAAATATATATATATATGCTGGTCCAGTCAGAGAGCATATGATTCTTGATCTCAGGGTCATGAGTTCAATCCCTATGTTGAGTGTAGAGATTACTTAAATAAATAACCATAAAGTATAAATAACCCTTTTGTTTATTAAGATTGTGTCTATTCGGGATCCCTGGGTGGCCAGCGGTTTGGCGCCTGCCTTTGGCCCAGGGCGCGGTCCTGGAGACCCGGGATCAAATCCCACGTCAGGCTCCCCGTGCATGGAGCCTGCTTCTCCCTCTGCCTGTGTCTCTGCCTCTCTCTCTCTCTGTGTGTGTGACTATCATAAATTTTAAAAATAATAATAATAAAAATAAATAAATAAAAAGATTGTGTCTATTCATGAGAAAGACAGAGACAGGCAGACACACAGGCAGAGGGAGAAGCAGGCTCCCCGTGGGGAGCCCGATGCGGGACTTGATCCCCAGACTCTATCCTGGGACTTGAGGCTCACGCCCTGAGCTGAAGGCAGACACTCAACCACTGAGCCACCCAGGTGTCCCTGAATAACTCTTTTAACTTTGAGGACTTAGGTACTTGCAAAAATACTGTCCATATCAGATTATAAACCATTCACATGTGTGGGCAGGGATAAAATGAATTACTTACTTTGAGGACTTTAAATTCATTATTTTATTATAGTACGTAGTTGCTAAGGCATACTTTTTAGAACATGGCTTTAAAAATAAATGCAGGGCAGCCCTGGTGGCTCAGCGGTTTAGCGCCGTCAGCCCAGGGCACAATCCCGGAGACCCGGTATCGAGTCCCAGTCCCACATCGGGCTCCCTGCATGGAGCCTACTTCTCTCTCTGCCTCTGTGTGTGTGTCTCATGAATAAATAAATAAAATCTTTTAAATAAAGATTAATTAATTAACTAATTAGACGTAAATGCAGGGACGCCAGGGTGACTCAGCAGTTAAGCATCTGCCTCCCTCTCTCTTGGTTTCTCTCACAATATTAATAAATAAAATCTTTAAAAATAAAAATAAAAGTAATTCCAAATTTTTTAGTGACCACAGGAAATAACTGAAATTTAATTGCAATAATTAAAACTACAGGGTGGCCTAGGTGGCTCAGCAGTTGAGCATCTGCCTTCAGCGCAGGGTGTGATCCCGGTCGGGGGATCGAGTCCTGCATCAGGTCGCTGCGAGGCGACTGCTTCTTCCTCTGTCTATGTCTCTGTCCCTCTCTGTGTGTCTCATGAATAAACAAATAAAATCTTAAAAAAAATTAAAACTACGTACAGCAGAGAGAGTATAGGAATCGATGGCAGTGTGATAGCATTGTATGGTGTCAGATGGTAGCTGTACTTGTGGTGAGCATAGCATAACATACAGAGTTGTCAGATCACTGTTGCACACTTAAAACTAATGTAATACTGTGTGTCAGCTCTACTTGAACATGAGTGAGTGAGTAAAATCTCAAGCATATTCCATGCTGAGCACAAAGACTCTAAAGACCCATTTTTAAAAGGCACCTCAGGGGGCACCTGGGTGGCTCAGTCAGCTGACTGTCTGCCTTCAGCTCAGGTCACGGTTGATAGAGCATGCAACTCTTGATCTCAGGGTCCATGAGTTCAAGCCCCACGCGGCGCTCCCTGCTCGGTGGGGAGTCTGCTTCTCCCTCTCTTTAGGGGCACCTGGGTGACTCGGTTGGTTGGGTGTCTGCCTTGGCCTGGGATGTGGTGCTGCAGTCCTGGGATGGAGCCCTGCATTGGGCTCTCTGCTCACTGGGGAGCCTGCTCCTCCCTCCCACTTGTGCTTTCTCTCACTCTGTCAAATGAATAAATAAAATCTTTAAAAACTAATAAAAATAAAAGTGGGTCTTTAGGGGCGCCTGGGTGGTGCAGTAAGTTAAGCATGTAACTCTTGGTTTCAGCTTAGGTCATGATCTCGGGATAATGAAATCGAGCCCTGCATCGAGCTCCAAGCTCAACGTGGAGTCTGCTTGAGATCCTCTCTCTCTCTCCCTCTGCCGTCGCCCCTCATGCACTCTTATTTCTCTCAAATAAATAAATCTTAAACAAACAAACAAGGGTCTTTAGTGGGGAAAAGAAAGATAAGGGCACCTGGCTGGTTCAGTCAGTGGAGCATGCAACTCTTGATCTCAGAGTTGAGAGTTTGAGAATCTTGAAAAATAAATAAAAATTAAAAATGGTTCAGCTCAGGAGTGCCTGGGTGGCTTAGTTGGTTAAGCATCTGCCTTGCGCTCAGGTCATGGTCCCGGGGTCCTGGGATTGAGCCCCCATCAGGCTGCCTGCTCAGCAAGGACTCTGCTTCTCCCTGTCCCTGTCCCTCTCCCCCTCTCCCCTGCTCATGCTCTGTCGCTTGCTCTCTGTCTCCCAAGTCAATAAATAAAATCTTAAAAAATAAGAATAAAGGGGATCCCTGGGTGGCGCAGTGGTTTAGCGCCGGTCTTTGGCCCAGGGCGCGATCCTGGAGACCCGGGATCGAATCCCACGTCAGGCTCCCGGTGCATGGAGCCTGCTTCTCCCTCTGCCTGTGTCTCTGCCTCTCTCTCTCTCTCTGTGAGTGTCATAAATTAAAAAAAAAAAAAAATTGAAAAAAAATTGAAAAAAAAAAAGAATAAAATAAATAAAATAACGTGTCCCTGGCCCATTTTTAAATTGGGTTGTTCCTTTTCCTACTGTTGAATTTAAGTCATTTTTTTTGTTTTCTTTTTTTTTTATATTTATTTATTTATGATAGTCACACAGAGAGATAGTCTCACAGAGAGAGAGAGATGCAGACACAGGCAGAGGGAGAAGCAGGCTCCATGCACTGGCAGCCCGACGTGGGATTCAATCCGGGGTCTCCAGTATCGCGCCCTGGGCCAAAGGCAGGCGCCAAACCTCTGCGCCACCTAGGGATCCCTGTTTTTGTTTTCTATATTTGAGATAGCGGTCCTTTCTCAGATACATCTCTTGTAAATACTTTCTCTTGGTCTGTGACTTGTCTTCTCATTCTCTTGATAGTGTCTTTGGTAGAGGAGACGTTTTTTTATTTTAATGAAACTTACCTTATAATTATTTCTTTCATACATCATGCCTTTAGTATTATATCTAAAAAGTCTTCACCAAACCCAACATGTTCTCTTATGTTACCTTTTAGGGGTTTTATAGGTTTACATTTAGAGCTAGAATCCGTTTTGAGTTAATTTTTGTAAAGGGCGTACGGTCTGTGTGTAAATTCACTTCTCCGTGTGTGGATGTCCAGCTTGCCCAGCACCTTTTGTTGAAGACTGTATTATCTGCATGGTATTGCTCCTGTTCCTTTGCCAAAGAATAAATAGGTAACTGTATCTGGTTCTGGGCTCTCTGTCCTGTCTGTTGACTTACGTGTCTGTTCTGTCACCAGTCCCACACTGCCTAGACGGTAGCTGTATAGTCGGGCTTCAAGTACATACGTCGGTCCTCTGACTTTGTTGTTCTCCTTCAATATGTTGATGATTATTGTTTGCCTTTTGCCTCCCTACACTTGAGAATCTGTTCACCAAGATCCTCAAAATAATTTGCTGGGATTTTGATTGGGATTAGTTAAACCTATAGATCAAGTTGGAAAGAACTGATGTTGACAGTGTTGAGTCTGCATATTCATGATCATGGAATAGCTCTCTGCTTACTTATTAGCTCTTCCTTGATTTCTTTTATCAGGGTTTTGTCGTTTTGGCAGCAGGCAGCAGAAGATGCAACTCCTTCTGTCCATGGGTCCTGCCCCTACACTTGAGTTTTGTAGTTTTCCTCAAGTTGACTTTGTATTTATTTTGTTAGATTAATTCCTAGGCGTTTCATTTCTGGGGTGCTAATGTAAACATGTTCTTAATTTCAAATTCCACTTGTTCGTTGGTGGTATATAAGAAAACCATGGATTTTTGTGTATTAATGTTGTATTCTACAACCTTTTCATACTCCTTCCTTAGTTCCAGCGGGTTTTGTTGCCTTTTACAAATTTCTACGTAGACAAGTCATGTTATCTGTGAATAAATACAGTTTTATTTCTTCCTTCCCGATCTATATACTTCCTATTTCCTTATCACATTAGCTGGGCTTCCAGTATGATGTTGAGAAGGAGTGATGAGAGGGAACATGCATTATTACTGATATCAGTGGGCGAGCCTCCAGTTTCTCACCATTCAGTGTGATGGTAGCTATAGGGTTTTTGGTAGATGTTCCTTATCCAGTCGAGGAAGCACTTTATATTTTCTAGTGTGCGGAAACAGTTGCTTTTCTTTAAAGGACAGAAACTTTTTTTTTTTTTTTTAGGACAGCTGTCAATTGATTTTTTTTTCTAAGATTTTATTTATTTATTTATTTATTTATTTATTTATTTATTTGAGAGAGCTCAGGCACGAGTTCGAGCTGGGGAAGGAACAGAGGAAGGGGGAACAAGCAGACCCCCTGCTGAGCAGGGGACCCCCCCCATGTGGGGCTTAATCGCAGGACCCCAGGTTCATGACCTAAGCGGAAGGCAGACGAACTGAGACACCAAGGCCCCCCAGTCAATTGATTCCTAACAAAAGTATTAAGACAATTTAGTGGGGAAAAGAATAGACTTTTCAACAAATGGTAGTACTGTGTCAGCTGCATAGTCACATGAAAATAAAGTTAGACCCATTCCTCATACTGTGTATAAAAATTTGCTCAAGATTAATCAAAGACCTAACTGTAACGGCTAAAACTTTAACATTTTTAGAAGAAAACATAAATGTAAATCTTTGTGACCTTTGATTAGATGTTGGTTTCTCAGATACACCCGGAACACAGTAACCAAAGGAAAAAAAGAATAAATTGGACAAACCTTATTAAAATTAAAAACGTCTGTGTGTCACAGTACACTATGAAGAGAAGTGGAGGGGATCCCTGGGTGGTGCAGCGGTTTGGCGCCTGCCTTTGGCCCAGGGCGCGATCCTGGAGACCCGGGATCGAGTCCCACGTTGGGCTCCCGGTGCATGGAGCCTGTTTCTCCCTCTGCCTGTGTCTCTGCCTCTCTCTCTCTCTCTGTATGACTATCGTAAATAAAATAAAAATTTAAAAAAAAAGAAGAAGAGAAGTGGAAAGACAACCCGTAGACTGGGAGAAAATATTTACAAGTCATATGAGTCCCTAATAAGCAGCTGAGATCCAGAGAATGTAGAGAACTAGTCTTCTCGATAAAAAGACAAATAGCCCAGTTAACAACTAGGCAGAGGACTTGAATCAACCTCTCTCCAAAGAAAATATACAAATGGCTAATGAATACATAAAAAGACGCTTCTTCGTCAGGGAAATGCAAGTCAAAACCACGGCAAAAGTTGCTGGGTCAATGGGTAGAGCATGCGACTCTTGATCTTGGAATTGTCAGTAGTAGAGATGGCTTAACAAATATAATCTTTAAAAACAAAACAAAACCACAGCAAGATACCACTTCACACCCACTAGGTGGCTTTAATCGAAAAGACAGATAAGGGTTGCCAAGGACGTGGAGAAATTAGAACCCTCATACAGCGTCAGTGGAAATAGAAAATGGGGAGTGCCTGGTTGGCTCAGTGGGTTAATAAGCATCTGCCTTCGGCTCAAGGCAGATCTCAGGATCCTGGGATCGAGGCCTGTGTTGGGCTCTCTCTGCTCGGTGGATAGTCTGCTTCTCCCTCTCCCTCTGCCCCTCTCCGCCCCCCGCTCATGCTCCCTGTCTCTCTCTCTCCCCGCCCCCCTCAGATGAATAAATAAAATGTTATAAAAAAGCAAGCAAGCAAGTAAGCGTGCACCATAAAATGGTACAGCTGCTTTAGAAAACAGTCTGGCAGTTTCTCCAGAGGTTCAACATAGAGTTACCAAATGACCCAGCAATTCCACTCCTAAGTAATGAGATATGAAAGAGAAAGGAAAACACGTTCACACAAAAACTTGCACAAATATTCACAACAGCATTATTCATAATAGGCAAAACATGGTAACAAACCAAATGTCTATCAACTCATAAGTCAATGTGGTATTTCCATATAATGAAATATTATTTAGCAATAAAAAGGGAGGAAGTACTGGTTCACACAATAACATGAAAGAATTTGAAAGTTTGGGGATCCCTGGGTGGCGCAGCGGTTTGGCGCCTGCCTTTGGCTCAGGGCGCGATCCTGGAGACCCGGGATCAAATCCCATATCGGGTTCCCGGTGCATGGAGCCTGCTTCTCCCTCTGCCTATGTCTCTGCCTCTCTCTCTCTGTGTCACTATCATAAGTAAATAAAAATTAAAAAAAAAAAAAAAAAAGAATTTGAAACTTTATGCTAAGTAAAGAAAGCCAGGCAGAAAAGGCCCCATATTATAGGATTCCCTTTTTTTTTTTTTAAATGAAATGTCCACAATAGGCAAATCTAAGAAAGCAGATTAGTGGTTGTGGGGGGCGGTGGGGTCGGGGGGAGGACGGTGGTGTGAGAGGAAATGAAGAATGACTACTGATGGATAGGTTTCCCTTTGGGTTACAGAATTGTTCTTAGACTGATTGCAGTGTTGGTTGTACAATTCTGGTTGTGCAACTAAAAACTGTTAAGGGGTGCCTGGGTGGCTCTATCGGTTAAGCGTCTGCCTTTGGCTCGGGTCATGATCCCAGAGACCAGGGATAAGCCCCACTTGTTGCTCCCTGCTCAGTAGAGTCTGTTTCTCCTTCTCCCTCTGCGTTCCCGGCCCCACCCGCGCTCATGCGGGATTCTCTTCCGCAAATAAATAAAATGTTCAAATTTCAAAAAAAACGAGACGCCTGGGTGGCTGAGCGGTTAAGCGTCTGCCCTCGGCCCAGGGCGTGATCCTGGAGGCCCGGGATCGAGTCCCGCATCGGGCTCCCCGCATGGAGCCCGCTTGTCCCTCTGCCTGTGTGTCTCTCATGAATAAATAATAAAATATTTTTATTTTTTTTAAATTTATTTAAATTTATTTACGATAGTCATACAGAGAGAGAGAGAGAGAGGCAGAGACACAGGCAGAGGGAGAAACAGGCTCCATGCACCGGGAGCCCGACGTGGGATTCGATCCCGGGTCTCCAGGATCGCGCCCTGGGCCAAAGGCAGGCGCCAAACCGCTGCGCCACCCAGGGATCCCAATAAAATATTTTTAAAAAGATTTTCAAATTTTTTTTATTCATGAGAGATGGGGCGGGGGGCTGGGTGCTGCGGGCAAAGACATAGGCAGAGGGAGAAGCAGGCTCCGTGCAGGGAGCCCGATGCGGGACTCGATCCTGGGACCCCGGGATCACCACCTGAGCCTACGGAAGACGCTCAACCACTGAGCCATCCAGGTGCCTCATAGGTGAATTTCTCTCGGTAAAGCTGTTATAAAAACCATCTAGAAGAGTAACTGGCATGTGCGGTATCCATGGTTGAAGTATTCCCTCTGCTGATGATGGGGTGGCGGGGTAACTATTAGAAACATGCAGCGTGTATTACTGGGAAGCATTCTGTTTTATAGGATCTCCTCTATCGAAGATCTAGGTCACTAGTGGATTATGAAAATGCAAATAAAGCACTGGATAAAGCAAGAGCAAAAAATAAAGATGTCCTGCAGGCTGAAACATCCCAACAGTTATGTTGTCAGAAATTTGAAAAAATATCTGAATCTGCAAAACAAGGTACTGTTGTTAGCTTACCGTTTGATCCTGAAGTATACTTCAAGCTATTCTATAAAATTAATCTCATTTCTTTTGTTCACAGAACTTATAGATTTTAAGACAAGAAGAGTTGCCGCGTTCAGAAAAAACTTAGTGGAACTGGCAGAGTTAGAACTGAAGCATGCAAAGGTTAGTGTCACATTGAAGGCTTGATAATTTAAATGACTTCTAATTTAGGAATGAGTCAGTTACAGGGTGCCCGGCCAGCTCATTGGCCTCTTGAGTTTGAGCCCCATGTTGGGCGTAAAGGTTAGGAAGGAAGGATGGAAGGAAGGAAGGAAGGAAGGAAGGAAGGAAGGAAGGAAGGAAGGAAGGAAAAAGAAAGAAAGAGAGAAAAGAAAAGAAAGAAAGAAGAAAAGAAAAAGAAAGAGAAAGTTCATTGTGGAATTGTTAATAATTCTTTAATGACCTTTTCCTTCTTCCTACAGGCATACACAAATAAGTATTTCTGAATTAGAATTCATAATAATTGGAATTATACTTTTTGAAGATTATTTTACTACTTCAAAATAATTCTGATTTAGAAAATAAACATCCTTCTTCCGGGGTTTTTCTGTAGCGTTTGTTTCCTTCACATCGAGCCCTTTCTTGTAGTTAATATAAAGATACAGCTTCGGGGACACCTGGGTGGTTCAGTTGGTTGAGCGCCCAACTCTCGCTTTGGGGTCAGGTGGTGGTCTTGGAGTTGTGGGCTCCAGGCTCAGCATGGAGTCCACTTGAGATTCTTTCTCCCTCTCCTCCGACCGCTCCCACTCGTTCTCTCTCTCTCTCTCTCTCTCTCTCTCTCTCTCTCTCAAATAACCACTTTTTAAAAAAGGATAAAGTTTGGCCCAAACCTTATAGTGATTTTAAAACTAAAGAATCTTAGAATTGAGAGGGACGTGGGCGCCGGAGTGGCTCAGTGGTCGAGCGTCTGCCTTTGGCTCAGGTCGCCATCCCGGGGTCCTTGGATCGAGTCCTATATCGGGCTCCCCACGGGGAGCCTGCTTCTCCCTCTGCCTGTGTCCCTGCCTACTCTCTGTGTCTCTTGTGAATAAATAAATAAAATTTTTAAAAGAGCCAGAGAGAGAGAGAATTGAGAGGGATTTTACAGAGCACCTAATTTAAACAAGAATATCTGCAGTTTCTCCAAACGGACAGCTCTGCGAGACTCTAGGACCTAGGATGGAAACCAGTATCGTGTTTTGATTAGCTAAAAAAATAAATCACTTTTTTTTAAGATTTTATTTAAGAAAATAAAAAAAATAAATTTTTTTTAAAAAAATTTATTTATTTATTCATGAGAGACACAGAGAGGCAGAGACATAGGCAGAGGGAGAAGCAGGCTCCTGGTCTGGGACGCTAGCCCAGATGGACGCTAGCCCTGTCCATCCAGGGGCCCCGCCCCAGTCAATAAATCTTAAAAAAAAAAAAAAGAAAGAAAAGAAAAGAAAATGTTCAGTAGTTTCACTTGGACACAAAGAGCACCTCTTCTCTCTCAGTAGATCATGCCAGGTAATCCAAAACAGTAATATTGGTGTACGTGGACATTTACTGAAGCATCTGGTTCTGTGGAAAATATTGTACGTGAAACAGGTTAAATAAATAGTTTTAGGTCTTTAAACAGTTACTTCCATACAAGAAGCAGTTGTTTTCCAAATCCGGTTATCTTCGTGTAGCGTGCTGTGACTTTTCGGTCCGGTTCTTCTGGGCTTCGTAACTTTCTCTCCTTTCCTGTTTAGGGTAACCTACAGTTGCTGCAGAACTGCTTGGCAGTGTTAAACGGAGACACATAAGCCGCACTCCACCTTCGGCTAAAAAGGGCTGCCTTCCTTCAGATTTTATTTTTGTTTTCTGAATGATATTAAAGCATTTACTGCTCACCGGGAAGAAAAGAAACAGCCGACAAAGTGCATCTACTCTCCTTTTTTCTGAGAAACAATGGAGCGGAGCCGTCCATGGGTTCTGCCGATCTGTGGGGGGACACTGCCCCCCTGTACCCGAATGCTCCCTGGGACAGCCGTGGGTCACCTCGCGCTCCTCCTCTTCCAAAGCCCAGAGTTCAGTCTTTTCCTTAAGTAGCCTCCGTAGCTGTGTTTATTTTATGCGTAGTATTCCTTACGGCTGCCAGCCTCGTTTACGTTTAAGTACTTTCTGAAGTTTAACCCTTTTGAAGATACATTGTTCAAACAAGGGCAAGATTGCCGGCCGTCACCTTCTTTTGAATTTTGTTCTCAAAAGACATTGTGTACCACCTTAGTTCATCCATGTATCCTGGTAAAGCATCGTAATCAGACTTGTTTTTAATTGATGAACATTTCTTAGAAGTTTTGGGACAGACTTTATGTAATCTTTATAAGTATGATTTCTGATGAAGAGCAAATGCATTAGTATGTTTGCCTTAAACTTGTAGACTAAACCAACTATTATCAAATAAAAAGTGATAACAGTGATAGTTTTTTTTAACTCTGTGGTCATTGTATCACTCTAAAATTTGGAGTAGCTGTAACCCGTCTACTCCTTTGTTATGCTTTACAGTACAGGTCCTACGTTTTCTTTTCTTCTTTTTCTTAAAATGGCATATTGAACCAAGTTCACCAGTCCCTTTACAAGAGGACGAGCTGCTTTCCTGTGTGCGCTTTTTTGCATTTCATAGAAGATGGAATTGGGCAGAGGCAGGTTAGAAACAGCCATTTCTAAAATACGGGAGCAGACAAAATAAATGGTCTGTTACGGTTTCGTGAATTCCGTCTCCATCTAGCTCAGCTAAGGAACCACGCGACGTGCCATTGAGCCACTTGATAGTCATTCTGGTGTGTAAATCGGTACGTAGAGAGGAAGAGTGCTCTAGGGAACAGCACTTGTCGGTGGGGGCACAGTTGGAATAAAAAGGATACTGATTGTCAGTGATTACGAATATCATTGGCCTTTTGGATGTAGATTAACATCCCGTCATTTCTCCTTTAAAATTAGGTTGTATGGTTTGTTTGTTTGTTTGTTTGTTTTCTTTTTCACTGTCTAACTTTTCCTCCAGTTGGAAGCCACAGGTATGGCTGTGGGTGGGTTCCTCGTTTACATTTTCCCAGACCCTGTTTGTAGGCCTTAAGGGTAGTCGCCATGATTCCAGCCTCGCGTGTTCTCTTGCCTTACTGGTGTGCCCTTTAATGTCTCTCTCGCTGAGGTGGTTCCCTGATGCCGTTTGAGCCTGATTTTTCTGTTGCCTGAGAAATCTCTGTGTTTTTTCCTCCCCCACGTCTCCTTCACTGGTGAAAATATGCCCATGCGATGCTCTCCGGTGGGTGAACGTGGGACAGAGAGCCCTAGCTTCCGGATTCGGGTGCGGTCCCTTCCCCGGCTGCCCTTGTGGCCTGAGGCGGGTTGGCTTGACCTGTGTCTGCCTCATTTTCTCTACTACAAAGGACATACTGACCTACCTCACAGGGGTGTTGTGAGGATGAATAAACATTGGTACAGTGCTTTGGAAATGTGAAGATGCTGTGTAAATGCTAAGAAACAGCAAGTACAGGGCGGAAAGCTACGTACGACGTTCCACGTGGCCCTCAGCTACTCTGTACCGAGGAGGTCTTTTTGGAGGAAAGGGGTAGGAGAGTGCTAACATGCATCCTTGGTCCCTGGGTCACATTCTTACAGTGTGTGTTGGGGTGGGTTAGACTGCAAGCAGCAGCACGTACGTATTAGAGCAGGGGGGGCGGGGGGGGCTTGATGAATACGTATAGATGAGTTGACCACACTGTCCCAGGGCCTTCTCACAAAACACAGATAAGAACAAAGGTCACTCCCTCAAGGGCCTACTTTAGGAAAGATTCTACTTGGTACCTCCAGACCGACCGAAGCATTCCATACTTCACCGCTGCTAGTTGCCGCTTTAAGAAAACCAAGGTTTCACGGCTCCCGTGCTGGGGCATTCATTACACGTTTGTTGGCCCCCGTCCGTGCCCCTGGGGGACGCGAAGGAGAAACAAGAGGATGCCCCGTGGCCACCCTGCACGGGTGGTAGAGAGTTTCCGGCGGGTGACTGCTGACCCTCTGAGAGGAAAGGAGCGACCTAGGCACTGGGAATAAACCGGGATGGGAACGGTGGGATGGGAAGCAGGGGAACGCGGTTCGCGGGTGAGAGCGGAAAATGAAAACTAAAGAAATTGCAAGAGAGTGGGGGGAAGGCTCCGAAGCGCGGCCGACATGCCGGACAAAAGGGAAAACTCGAGCCTTAAGCCGTGGGCAGAAGGCCGTAGACAGCGGACCGGGGCTCGCGGCTGCCCGGGCGGGCGCACAACGCAGAGAACACGGCGACGCGCCCAGACTCAAGGTAAGAACGCGGAACGACGGCAAAAGCGGAGCCATAAGAACGCGGAACGACGGCAAAAGCAGAGCCGTAAGAACCCGAAAGCCACAAAGAGCACAACCGAGCTGCTGTTGAACACCCAGATGCCAGGGGAAAGCGCGAACGCAGTCCCCCACTACCACAAATTATGCAGTCGAGTTTCCCACATTTGGGGAAATCGCAGGGGTCAGCACATCCGGAGTGCAATGGATAAGCCTCGCCCTGGGAAAACCACCTTCGTGATCATGGTATCTCCCCTGCCAGGTAAGTATGAGTTGCTCCCCACCCCGACGCACACACCCTCGCGCTCGCCCCACTCCTTACACACGGTCACTTCACGCCCGCCGCCTCCGCACCCCGGCTCCCCGCGCCACCCCCCGCTGACACCGGTGCCCACCCCACGCACCGCCTCCGGCGCCTTTGTCTCGCCCCACGCGGGCCCCGCGGGCCCCGGCGCTGCCGGACCAGCGGCCTCTGCGCGCCTGCTCATCTGCATACGCCACGCCCCTGTCCCGCGGTTCTCTGGCTTGTGTTTGGCGCCCTGCACATAAAAATAGACGACAAGGCGGGATCTGCTCTGATTTTTTTTTTTTTTTAAGCGAAAATAAGCGTTAGTTTATAGTTCCGGTTTTTGATTTTTGGTGTTTTGTTTTGTTTTGTTTTGTTTTGTTTTGTTTTCAAGTAACCTCTACACCCAGTGTGGGGGCTTGAGCTCTGCCTCCTAGTCGCCTGCTGTACTCTGAGCCAGCCAGGCTCCCCACACGCCAGGTTGTAGTTTAAGACCAGACTGAGGCGTTTGACACTCTCATTATCTTTTTCTAACCTTTTGCCACTGAGAAATAGTCTTTTGGACAGTCATCCCTCCATGGGTGTCTACTTTTTCTTTGGCTGACCTGCGGCTTCCAGCAGGTGAGGGCAGGTTTCCTTGACCTGTACGTTTCTCTGGGGATGACACGCTAACTATGTTACGTAAAAAAAAAATAAAATAAAATAAAATAAACTCGGGATCCCTGGGTGGCTCAGCGGTTTGGCGCCTGCCTTCGGCCCAGGGCGTGATCCCGGAGTCCTGGGATCAAGTCCTGGGATCAAATCCCTCATCCGGCTTCCTGCATGGAGACTGCTTCTCCTTCTGCCTGTGCGTCTGCCTCTCATGAATAAATAAATAAAATCTTAAAAATATATATATATATATATAACTCCAAAAACATATATATATAACTCCAAAAACATATATATATAACTCCAAAAACATATATAATATGCTACCGTTTGTCTAGGGAAAATGTGAAAACAAGAAAAGTATACAGTCTTTCAAAAAGACAATAATAAACCAGAACTGATGACAGTTGGGGCGGGGTGAATAGAAAGAGTGATGAGTGATGCTTTACTGAGCGTACCTTCTTTGTGAATTCTGATTTGGGGAACTCTATCAATGCTTTACCTGTATTTTTAAATTGCAGGGCGGAAATCCCTAAAATTGCATATAAGCACGACTGAAACAAACTGTCTCACGAGTAGTATAAACCCCACTGAAATAGGAAAAAAAAATAAAAAATAACCTAGTGAAATGACTTTTGGACACAGTACACTGACTATAAACATCTCATAAACACCTTGTCCAGAGACAAGAACTGCAGAGGTTTGTAGTTCATAGCTATGTCTGTGGAACAATTCTGTAACAATGTTGCATGTATTGTAGGCTTAAGCTAATGAGTAAATGGAGATTGGGGAGTCAAGGTTCTCACTGCCAGAGAAAACAGATCCAAATAGGAGGTGGTGGAATCCCTGTGTGTAAAACTGAAAGTGGAAATTGACGGTATTGGGATGGGCTCATTTCTTTTAATAGAATTAATATAACAGGTACGGGTATACATACATACATACATACATACATACATACATATGGTTTTTTTTCTTTCTTTCTTTTTTACCTCTATCCACCAAAGGGGACTAGAAGGAAAGACAGCATTCAGCTTACCTCCTACCAGGATCTTGCTTTCTAAATGCCATTCTCCACTAAAAAGAACCAGGCCGGGCAGCCTGGGTGGCTCAGCGGTTTAGCGCCTGCCTTCGGCCCAGGGCGTGAATCTGGAGTCCCGGGATCGGGTCCCTCATCGGGCTGCCTGCATGGAGCCTGCTTCCCCCTCTGCCTGGGTCTCTGCCTATCTCTCTCTCTCTCTCTCTCTCTCTCTCTCTCTTTCTCTGTGTGTGTGTGTCTCAAGAATAAATAAATAAAATCTTAAAAAAATAAAAATTAAAAAGTATATAAAAAATTAAAAGAACCAGTCCTCTGGAAAAGTAGATTTTTTTCAGGAGTCAAGAAAGGTACAAAGTGACCCAGGAACATCTCGTGCCAGAAGATAAAGAAATGCTCCAATAATCGTATGGACGTGTCAAAGGACACAGCAGCCACGCTGCACTTGATCTTAGCCAAGAGGCCGAGAAGTGATTCACAGTAGCCACCCTGAACCGACTTTCAAAGGCCCAATCTGATAACATCTGAACATCAAAATAAATTTAAAAACAGTTATTGGTTACAAACAACTGAATGAAATAACCACCATGAGTTCATATGGATGGTACACAGGGAAGGAGGCAAAGTTCCTCCGTACACTGCAACGCCAACTAATAAATGGAGAATGAATGATGGAATTAGAAGATCAACATTTGTCAATTAGAACGCAAGAGTCCTCAAAGGACGCTAAAACTATTGTGTTAGGGGTGCCTGGGTGGCTTGGTCGGTTTAACGTTCCCACTCTGTTTCGGCTCAGGTCATGATTTCGGGGGTCCTGAGATCAAGCGCCCCGCCCCCACTGGCTCAGGCACTCAGAGGGAAGTTGGCTTGAAGATGCTTTTTCTCTGCCCCTCCCTCCACTTGCTTGGGCCCCCCCAAGCAGACTGCCCGAGTGCGGAGTCTGATGCGGGGCCAGATCCTAGGACCGGTGAGATCCTGACCTGAGCTGAAACCAAGAGTCAGACAGACACCTAACCCACGGAGCCACCCAGACGCCCCTAAGCGATCAACGTTAATACCACCAATAATTGAACAAACTCGCTTCCTGGGCCTCCGAAGGTGGTGCCCAGAGGAGCACACCGTATTAATTTGCTAGA